AAGTAGGTTATGGGATGCTTTTGTACATTTTTAAATAAAAATAAAAACAGACTGCAGGGATTTGCAAATTTCATAAACCCATATGTTATTCACAATAGAACATAGAAAACATATCAAATGTTTAAACTGAGGAAATTTACCGTTTTAAGGAAAAAAATAAGGCGATTTTTTAATTTGATGGCCGCAACACGTCTCAAAAAATATGGCACGGGGGCAACAAAAGGCTGGAAAGTAAGTGTTACTAAAAAGAAACAGCTGGAGGAACATTTTGAAGCTAATTGGGTCAATTAACATGATCAGATGTAAAAAAGAGGATCTTAGAGAAGCAGATGTTACTCTAAAACCTGTATATACCTTTCAGCATTGATGGTGCCTTTCCAGATGTGCAAGCTGCCCATTCCATAGGCACTAATGCACCCCCGTACCATTGGAGATGCATGCTTTTGAACTGAGCGCTGATAAAAAGCCGGATGCTCCCTCCACTCTTTAGTCCTCTGTAGTTTAGAGGACACGGCATCCATGGTTTTTAAAACGGAGTTTAATATTTCAATTCGTCTGACCACAGAATGAGATTTGCAAATCATTGCATTCTGTTTTTATTTACATTTTACACGGCGTCCCAACATTTTTGGAATTGTGGTTATACTTTGGGCTAGACCGCCGTCTCACATCCTATATTGCATTCTGTATTACATGATACTTCTCTGTTATCTCGTAAAGGTTTTTACTGGAATAATCCATATTTACGAGCCAATAGTTTTAAGACCGCACCATAAAAAGTCAAATGTATACTAATGAACGAGTAGAATATTTTTATTCATTACTTTCTGCATTCGAATTGTGTATGCGTAGATGAAGACTACATGGTAAGAAGTCTGTTTAACGCTCAAGAGCTAAACGGCGTCCCTCCGGAACTTTCTCCATTCCTCACTCGCTGCTTCATCGCTCGAGTACGCTGCCTGCTCGACAACAAATCCGGCTTCCTGGTGAGTCACTACAGCGACTGTGCCCATAGTATCATTTTGATGTCAGGCATTGTGAATTGTTATTGGTATAGAAGTCCTCTTTAATGTGCCATGACGGCCCTACAACATGTGCATCATATCATTACATTTGTACTTCACTTAAAAAAATTTGCAGTACACGCTCAGTTCCTGTCCGAGAGGCCTATCGTGCTGCGAAACGTTCGAAATGTTTTGACACGAGGAAGAAAAATACCACCCAATGTGATCCAGATCTTAACCAGATTCATCTTTATGCTTGTCGTTTTGTGTTCGTCGCACGCTGTCTGATATCTTTTCTTCTCCTAAAGAGGATGCAGTTTCAGGGCAGTCTGAAGTTCCTCCAAGGCCAGAAGAGGAAGAATAAATCCGGAGCTTTGATGCCTCCTCAGCTGGCTCTGTTCTGTGTGGCCGTGCCGCTTGTCCTGCCCTCCATCACCGAGCTGAAGATAAAGGGCATGATGAGCAAGCAGAAAGGCTCCAACATCAGGTTCGTACTTCAAGCAGGAGTACCTCATAGCTCATTTGCATGTAGCGAGATACAAGTAGATATAGAGTTTGTGTAAATCTAATTTTTGCTTTTATGGTCTTTTATGGGTAGTAGTATTCTCTCATTCTTAGTAAATCATATTGCTGAATAACCCTATCCATGACCCTAAACCTACACACACACACATTATTTATATATATATATATATATATATATATATATATATATATATATATATATATATATATATATATATATATATATATATATATATATATATATATATATATATATATATACACACACACACACAGTGCTTTAGAGCTTTGACAATTTTCCCGTGTATGTGATGGAAATTAAATTATTAGTAACATTTTACCCATATCATATCAAACCTCTTCCCCCATTTGACTAATAGATTTACTGTTTTAATTATTTTATATAAAAATGATAGTGGCCTCTGCTAAAAAATACCTTAGTTAGTTATTAGAAATTAAATGTCCACATACAGGCCATATACATATACAGTCATGGGAAAAGGAAAGCACACCCTCCTTCAGTTCTGTGTGTATTACTGGCTATATACAGTATCTATTGTGTAGTCCTCAACATCTTCTTGAAACAAACAAATAACCTCACGTGACAACAAATTTTATTTTTCTCGAAATGTAGTCATTAGACCGTGCTGAAACCAGATGGTGAAGAAAGAAGTACACCCTATAATTCAGTAACAGGTTGAACCACCTTTAGCAACAATAACTTGAAGTGCACAGTTTTCTGTAGGAGTTTATCAGTCTCAGAAATTTTGGCGTTTGAGCCCAGCTCAAGCTGCTGGACAGATGGCTGCACATTTGTCTCAAGAATATTCTGGTATAAAGTGGAATTCATTGTTCTCTCATGATCTCTCGAGCAGTAATCTAATTATCGACCTTATTCTGAATAAGACAATATTCTGATTAAGGTGTTTACATGAGTCGCTTTTAGAATACTCCTTTCATGTGTCCGTTTTACATGTTATAGAACATAGTTCGATTAACGGCACACGTTGTTACGTCAGCGCGCCACGCCGTCCGACGTCCCTCCAGAATTTCACGTATCAACATAGAGCTCGTCTTCGTTATGGTACCGTATACGGTTTTGGGTGTTTTTATTTAACATTTTTACGAACGCTTCAAGTGCGGTTCATTATTTGTCATGCTGTACGAGGAAATAGATGACTGCTTGAAACCGTGGGCTGCGTCCCAAACCGCGTACTTAGCTACTATATAGTAGCCGACATACATGTGTTTCATCTACTACAGGTCTATAGTAGGCGAGTACGCGGTTTGGGACGCAGCCATACTTCTTGATTTACTAAGCTTGTGCATTTCATTAGTAACACCTGGCTGCTAATTACTCGCTTAATGTATGTGGAAGAAGGAAGGGTGTATTTATTTTTTCCCACCTAGGTTCTGAATGCTGGTTTTCTTTTTGGGATAAAATGACTAGATATTGAAATCAGTTTTGTTTTGTTTTTTGTGTGAGGTTATTTCTTTGTTTCTAGAAGATGGTAAGGACTACACAATCGTTACTTAGACCCTGATAAATAAAAACATAGAATTGAAGGAGGGTGTACTTTCATTTTCCCATGACTGTAGTGTATCACGCTGTACCGCAATACATCTAGTACGCTCTCATGTTGATCAGCATGGACTTTCTTATGTCCCGTAAGCTTCATACCTGACTGTCTGGTCCCGCCTGCATGAGAGTAAAAACATCCCAAAGCACACTGGAGATTATTAGGGGGTCATGATCGATGAGGGCCAATCGGGGAATTTCGGGATTTTTAACGACCACAGAGAGTCAGGATCCTGGTTTGACGTCTCATCCGAATGACGGATATAAATCTAAATTTATTTGCCTGCATTAAGGCCATATAGTTGCTTGTTCTTTGTTGTCTAAATATGATTAGATACTATATGAAACCTAAGATCCATAAGATAATATGGTTCAGATCTTGTTGTGTCTTACTGTATACATGCCATATTTGAACCGTTTTAAATGTTGCAGTGAAAAGAGGCAGCACATTTCTCGCACTTCTTGTGACGCTGGCGACATAAATCTCAACTGGCACAGCGGACCGTGGACGGCTCTGACCAAAGAGGGCATCCAATATAAAAATGAAGGTCTGTACGGCCAGGACGAGCCCCTTAACTTCTGCATGTCCTCCATGGCGGCCCATAAAGTGCAGCCTACGCAAAGTCCCTGGGACTCTCGGTGTCACTCTGCCTCACAGGGCGGATACTTCAGCAGCAAACTGGGGAAGCACGTCCAGTCCGGAAAATTCCGCCTCTCCCCAGGTTGCGCTTCTGCGGCAATGTCCCAGTGTAAGCAGTATGGACTCGGTGATAAGGACGGGTACTGTGGCTACAGGAAGACTGAGAGTACTCGATACACGGGCAATAACGAGTGTTACAGCAACCTCCTGCCGCCCGAGACCGCCATAAAGACGGAGCACGACTCCGACTCGGAGAACGGATGCAGCATATACGGCACGCCCATTAACAGCGCCTGGCGCTACGGCACGCCCTTCCCTGACACACACCAGGTGAAAACAGAGGCGGACTATGATGAGTATTATAGCAAACCTAGCGTCACAAATATCTCCAGCATCAACGGACACCACAAATATCTCTACACAGGAGCGGGAAGGCCGCTGAAATGCGTCCTTAATAAAGACCATTCTGATCCTCACAACGTCCAGGATACAAACTGCCACGTGTACACGAACAGCTCTGAGTCCAAGGTCTTTATGCAGCCCGACTTCAAGCTGAGCTACGAGGTCAGGAACCACAGTCTTCTTCACCCCATCAAAAGAGAACCCGTTGACTCTCTGCCCTGGACTGAAGGCAGCCATGATGTTATTCAACAACACGTGGACAGAAATGAGGCGAACTGTGCACTGAACACAGTGATGCACAAAACCAGCGCCTATGTGTATATGCAATAATCATCAGCGCCAAATGCTACATTTTGAAGCTCAGGTAGATGTCTTATTACAGACAGGTGTTATAACACTTGTTTTTAAAGGCTAGTTCTCTATCATGGCACTTTAAAAGATGACCGAGTATTTTGTAAGTAATATTTGTAGCATAACCTTTGCAGTTACCTGACATGGAATTTGACATCGTATACATTGTATATTTCATTTATCTCATCTTCCGACCGCCTGGTTTTAAAAATGTACAGACCACAGAAAGAAGGGACAATCCCGTGGTTGAGGGATTATACTATTTATACCACATTGAATTCTCCATTCTGATCGGTCAGATGATGTTGAACTCTTCCGTGCACTCTTTCTAACGCGTTATTGTTTCTATAGTAACAACTCATTCACAGGGACTTGTGTGGCAGACATTCCACATAATCTAAGACTAATAATAAATCGATTTATTCGAAAAATGTGCCGTTATTGAACAAACAAAAAAAATTGAATCATTCATATCATATATGATCTGACGTCTCAAGGGCGCACTGTGGTTTAGTGGTTAGCACGTACCCTTCACACATGCAGGGTCGGGGGTTCGATTCACGCCGCTGCGGGGGTTTCCCCCGGGTACTCTGGTTTCCTCCTCCAGTCCAAAGACATACATACAGTAGTAGGCTGATCGGCGTGTCTAAAGTGTCCGTAGTGTATGAATGTGTGTGTGATTGTGCACTGCGATGGATTGGCACCCCGTCCAGGTCGTACACCGCCTTGTGCTCCATGCTCCCTGGGAAAGGCTCCAGGTTCTCCGTGACCCTGAAGGATAAGCGGTATAGAAAATGGACGGATGGAAGGCGTTTCACGGGTCAATGATGAAACGTAAAACAGTATTCAGCATCGATAACAATTAACACTTGTTCCGTCATTTTGAATTGGTAAGATTTTAGGACAAAAACCTAATCCTGGGGTTGTTTTTTTTTTTTTGGTTTCTGAAATAAAGTTACATAACAAGCTTTGATTTGAAGGTCTCGGACAGAGGATGACGCACGCGCTACAATCAGCCGAAAAGTGTCCTCTGCTTCTGTATCGTCTGATCAAGAGCACCATTTCATCCAAGGACGAAGATGCTCGTGGCGTCAGATTTGCATGTGCGTGCCAGCGTGCATGTGACAGGGCACCTTTTTGTGTGTGTGTGTGTGTATTTGTATATTATCATGCTGCAATGGGAAAATAATTATTACCTTATGTCTGAATAAATGTTCTAATTTAACCTTGTCTAAAAATCTTTTCTTTTTTAAAAAAATAGAATATAAATATTGATTAAGATAATATTGATATATCTATCTCTCTCTCTCTCTCTCTCTCTCTCTCTCTCTCTATATATATATATATATATGTATATATGTGTATATGTATATATGTATATGTATGTATATATGTATATGTATACATATATACATATAAATATAAATGTATACATATATATACATATATATATACATGTGTACATATATATATATATATATTTTGGAAAGTGATTAAATGATGGTGCAGGTCCCCTTTATAAATATGACATAAAAGATGACATTTTTATGGCCGAAACCTTTAATCAGTTGTTTTTGTTGTTTAAATTCATTTTTATTAGCATTTCCCTTTATGATTCCAGTGAGCTTATTTCCCTTAGCTTGCATTTTATTTCTGTTTTGTATATTTTTTAGACATTTGAATTAAAAAGGCTGAACTGCTCAGTGGAAAGTATCTTATTTCAACACGGTGTGACTGTGTAAGAATTTTTTTTTCTATGACATACACCATAACATATAAAGTAAATGATAAATGAGTAAATAAGGACATGTTGGAGTCTACATGCAGCCTACATGCCCGGATCATTAGCTAGGCTTATACTAGACTCTGTTAATGACATATTTGGGTCACAGGTAATATATTGGTATAATGATACCGTCCCATATCGGTAGTATTGATAATGTCGGTGTGACTGCTGTGCTGAAAAGTCCACCACCCAAGTACTTCTTCATTAAAACATAGGAACATTAGTGAGTCGGCGCTATTAAGTGAACCGGCTTAGAGATCTGACTCGCGTAATACGTTATTTTAGTAGACGTAAGCATTCATAATATTACATTTATATCAGGAAAAATGGAAATGAATATTCTTGCTTCTTAATAAGGCACAGACATCCATCCATACATCCATCTTCTATACCGCTTATCCTACAGGGTTGCGGGGAACATGGAGCCTATCCCAGGGAGCATGGGGCACACGGCGGGGTACACCCTGGACAGTGCCAGTCCATCACAGGGCACGATCACACCCATTCACACACTGAGGACACTTTGGACATGCTAATCAGCCTACCATGCATGTCTTTGGACTGGGGGAGGAAACCGGAGTACCCGGAGGAAACCCCCGCAGCACGGGGAGAACATGTAAACTCCGCATTCACACACAGGGAAGCGGTGGGAGTCGAACCCCCGACCCTGGAGGTGTAAGGCACAATTACATTAATGCACTGATATTCACTATATTAGTCTGGTCTGGTTTGCGAAAGAGTCGGCTCCTTACACTGGCTCTTTAAGAGCTGACTTATATGAGCCGTTTTTTTTTTTTGCATTAACCGCTTGTATGTGTTTCATTACGAAGATATGTTTTCGTTTATTATGATAAAATGCTGGGGTTAAAAAACAAACAAACAAACAAAAGACCCGGATGCTGGCTGTATTATTGATGTGTCGTTTCCAGATGAGTCGGATCTTTACTCCGGATCTTTTAGCCGAATCTTCAGAGTCGACTTGGCAACATATGCCTTATTTTTTTGCTTTTGTTTCATTTTTTTGAAGGCAGTTTAATGAAACACAGATACAGCATTTCACATTTCTTTTGTGTTTTGTAAATAAATAGTTTGATTAAAAAAACTCAATAGGTCATTTTGCAGATTAGAAGATGGAGTAAGACTTCATGAAACAACTTCAGCCATAGTTAGGCAATGACGAATAAACTATGTCCTGAATATCGTAAATATGGTCAACAATCCGGTTTAAACATGCCGATAAGCCTTTTTGGGAGCCGAAAAAGTCGGGCATTATTGGAAAGCTGAGCCAAATGATTGTACTCACTGACAACAACAGAGCAGGTGACTACAGTTAGAAATGATATTACTATATAACACAGGCACATCATACAAATCCAAGTTGTACTTTAAACGATCAAATATCAACCCAGTTTACTGCGCAAAACGAACGCAGACTTGACCTGAACGACACACCGACTGTCAGCTGCTGTTGCTGGGCGGCGCATAGCAACCAGGAAGGCTCTGCACTAGCAGTAAGAGATGTTCTAGCCAATAATATTCAATTAATGCTTCGAGAAGCGTCGCGTAGCTCATAAGGAACCTAATCAGTCATTGGGTAAGTAATTTATATCAGGGTTTTATCTTCTATAATGTGTCGATTGTCTCGGTGATAGCCGTCGTTTTTCGCAGACTTAGCTCTTGTATTAGCGTATATAGGCCGTATTCGGTTAAATCCCGCCTTCTGTACTGTGATTGGCTAACCGTAGTTTTATCCTAACATTGATTGGATAGTGTAGTATGGACTGGATTATTGACCAATCCTAGAGCAGGAGGCGGGACTTTTAGGGTGCTCCTAATGAGGAAATAACGCTTGTTTGTTTGTTTGTTTGTTTTGACTCCTCTTTGATCACCTTGTTCAGTTTAAGTAATCATTTTTTCAATCCCCGCCCCCCAACTAGTGAAGAAATTTAGCGTGTATTAACTAGTTAGCTTAGTTAGTGGGTGCAGCTTGCTAGCTAAGTAGCTACCGTGCAAAATGGTGGCCCCAGATACACTGTATGAATTATTATTCACCAAACAGCTGCAGCATAGGATATTGTGTGGAATATAAAATGTACAGACAGAATAAAACAATGGTATATTTTACAGCTTGAACATTGTTGTGGGAAAAACAAAAACAATAAAAAAACATCAGAAAATCTAATGGTTGTGACTACAAATACCATTACAAACCATCAGCTAACCATTAAAACCATTAACATTATTGGTCCTTAATGGTATCCAGACCCCGCCTTGTGCCTGATGCTCCCTGGGATTGGCTCCAAGTTTCCCGCTACCCTGAGAAAGGAGTAAGCGGTAGAAGATGGATGGATGGATGGTATCCAGTAGACATAACATGCCACCAATAGGAGGCAACAAATTATCTCTAGAAACCATTACAGTTTCCATTAAGACCAGTACAATTCTCATTCTCACCTTGATAAAGTCTATGAGGACGGACGCCACACCTACCCACATTTACATTACATTTGCACACCTACGTTACCTTTACACACCTACCTCTACATTTATAACCTGGTACACAACATTCCTGCCAAATCTGAAAGAATGCTAAGTTTACAGTAAGAAATGAGACTTTAATTATCGTTATAATTCACATCGCTCTTTGTCTCGTCACCTGAGGTAAAAGTCGTGCTTGGCGTTTAAACTCGATCGTCGTCGTCGTCTCTTCACTCCACTAAACATCAGTGGGGAAATAATCGCTCATCCATTCGCTCACTTCTGTTCTGTTGACTACATTTCTTGCTGTTAATGTCTTTTGAACAATTTTTTTAAAACTTTGTTTAACTTTAGAAGATGTACGCATTCAAAATTTACTGTCTCGCTATACCACCAATACAGATGGACAATTTTGATGACATCATTCTGTATTTCAGCATCCCGTCAGATTTTCTGACCAATCAAACACCCTCTAGAATCTGTAGTGTCCCGCCCCCGACGTAATAAATATCACCTTGCCGAAGTCGCCGTGGTTGAGCAAGAGAAATCGTATCAGCAAGTACGGGTCGTAAATGTGCCGTACCTGCCGATAACCGATTAATCGTCCGATAGTTTTTTTTTTAAATCAATACAGAATGAAAACAACAACACATAAAGTAAACTATTACTGAAATTTATTTAAAAAATTAACCGGGTGTACCGTGCAAATGTACGGTACTTTTTAAAAACAAAATACATATATAAATATGAATATATATTAACTATTAATACTTATTACGGTAAATAAAAGATATACATCCAAACTGAACCACAAAGTAACATTCGAAATGAATCAAAAAGCACTTCAAATAACACAACAAAACTGGTCATCGATAGTTTTTATTTCGCCTCTAGAGGCCGCTCTCGTACTGTATAAAGACAGTCCTCCACCGCTTATCGCTATTGGCTATTTAAAAAGAGTAGGAGCCATTCCATATGTCCCACCCTGACTTCCTGTTTCAGTGGAAATTGTCGACATATCGAATAACGCTGCGCATTTCAGGACGCTTCAGGGCGGCTTTAATTTGAAACATTTCTGCATCATTTCTTAAAGTATATTATATTCTGTTATTGCTAAACGTATTTTGAAACCGGATTTATTTACTTATTTATTTACTGGCTGCGTAAATCAGCCACAGCGACATCTGGTGAGTTTTCCCAGACCTTCTTCAGCTCTGTACAAGTCGAAGCAGATATTGTTTACACTGGAGGCTGGTTGTGATGGACTTTGGAGGGAAACTGTCCATCCCTTATCTAGCTACAGAAATA